TGTAGAAGTGTCTTTGGCTGAAGTCACACAAGTGGTAAGTGTGGTGAGCACAGTCACACCAAGATTTTGAGGCACACATCCTTATTGGAGAGCTCTTTGTGGGTCCAAATGCATGTGCTGAAAACATGCATGCATCTTAAATAATGTAATCTATGGAGATTGTAGGTAATCTTTTTCTTCCCAGAAAATGAATACATCCTTTGTACAGTTCTCACGACACAGGACAACAATGAAGCTTGTCAGGAAAAGTCCTAAGGTGCTCCTTATTTTCAGTTAGTAAAATCTGTTTTAAAAATGACTTCTAAGCTGTGTTTGGTGGTGCTCAACTTTAACCTCTGTATTTGGGAAGAAGCAGCAGGAGGATTGGGAGTTCAAGGTCAGTATTGGCTACATATCTTGTTTTAGATTTGAGGCCATCCGGGACAAAATGAGACCCCTGTCTCAAAACATCAACAAAGCCAGCAAGATTGCCAGCTGGTAAAGGCCCTTGCCACCAAGCCTGGTGACTTCTGCATAGTGGAAGGACAGAACTGACTCCCATGCCTGTTCTCTTACTTAAGGTATAGTGCACACAGGAACGCACATACAAATTGAACAATAAACTTTCTTCTGTTTTAAATGAATCATATAAAAAGTGAGGAAGCAGGGAAGAGAAAAACAGAACATTAAGTGCAGTTTGAAGGACTCACGGCTGGCTAAGAATGTTGATGCCTTTTTTCTCCCAGCAACCTATATAGTGCCTCCTTGAACCATCAAAGCTTGCCAGCAAGGAGGAAGCTTCCAGCTGTGTTCCAGCCTCATTTCTCTACATCCTGCAACAGAGGTATGCAGTGTCTTCAGGACCAGAGCAGACCTCACAGGGTTTCTTTTTCGTTTGCTTGTTTTTGTTTCTGTTTTCTTTTGTTTTTTGAAACAGGGTTTCTCTGTGTAGCCCTAGCTGTCCTGGAACTAGCCCTGTAGACCAGACTGGCCTAGAACTCAGAGATCCACCTGTCTCTGCCTCCCAAGTGCTTCGATTAAAGACCTGTGCCACCACCACCCAGGCTCTCTCACAGGGTTTCTTCGAGTAGCCCTGGCTGTCCTGAACTCGCTCTGTAGACCAGGCTGGCCTTGAATTCACAGAGATCCGCCTCTGTCTCCAAAGTGATGGCATTAAAGACGTGTGTCACCACTGTCCAGCTAAGACCTCACATCTTTTAAAACTACAAATAACCTTCCATATAATCAAATTTGTATTTGCTTAATGTGTACTACAGTGGGAGAAGTGTATGCATATGATTGAATATGAAAAGAGATTATGAGAAATAAAAATTTTTCCTCCCTTTCTTCCTTCCTTGGTCCTTGCCCATACATACATGCAAGCAAAATAGTCATACACTTAAAAAAGTAAAAATAAGTAACTCTTGCTGGGTGTGGTGGCCCATACCTTTAATCATAGTACTCAGGAGGCATAGGCAGGTAGATTGCTGTGAATTCTAGGCCAGCCTGGTCTACATAAGGAGTTCCAGGCTAGCCAAGGCTACATAGTGAGACTCAGTCTAAATAAATAAATAGATCTTTTATAATAATAAATATAATTGAATACCTAAATTATCTGATTAACTGACTATCCAGAGCTAATTTAATTTTAAAATATTTTAAATTCAAGTAAGAGATCAGATTAAATTTCAGGAATGAAAATGTGTTCGGGCAGCATTCTAATTCAGGATAAGTCAGCAGTCATTCTAGTCAGTTCATCGTGTATATTGAGAAATTGTATCTTGAGAATGCCACACATGTTTTAAAAATAAAATCCCAGATATATCTGTGCCTCTCTCACACAGGCTTTTGAAATATTCACCCATCCCTTGACATAGGCCTGAAGTCAAGGGCCTGACAACCTTTTCTCTAAAATAAATCAAAATATGGAAAGACAGAAATGGAAAGAATACAGCTGCATGGGTACAGAGGTTGGCTATACTTGATATATTTAGAGCCAGTATGTGTAGCAAATGTGATTTATACCCAGCCTGTGACAATCAGGTTTAACTAGGGTTTTTTATTTGTTTTTTTTCCCTTAATTTTGTTTTGTTTCTTTTCTTTTTGGTTTTGTTGCTTTGAGACAGGGATCTCTATGTAAATTAGCTGTCCTAAAAATTCCCTATGTAAGCTGGGCGGTGGTAACACACGCCTTTAATCCCAGCACTTGGGAGGCAGAGGCAGGTGGATCTCTGTGAGTTCGAGGCCAGCCTGGTCTCCAGAGCGAGTGCCAGGATAGGCTCCAAAGCTACACAGAGAAACCCTGTCTCGAAAAAAAAAAATTTCCCCATGTAGACCAAGCTGGCCTCAAACACATGGAGATCTACCTGCCCCTATCACCCCAGTGCTGGGAGCTGTAGGCTACCAACTCCAGCTAACCAGGTATTTTAAGATATATAACATCCAAGTTTGTACCATATGCCAGCCACCAAGTTCATCACAAGCCCAGCTATTACTTTAGAATTCTGTTTAAATTTTTTTTTGTTGTTTGTTTTTTTTTTTTGTTTTTTTCTGTATAGCTTTGTCTGCCCTGGAACTCACTTTATAGACCAGGCTGGCCTTGAACTCACAGAGATCAACCTGCCTCCCCTCCTTCGCCTCTCCCCATATTGGGATTATAGGTATGTGTCACCATGGCCCAGCCTGATTAAAATTTCTAATGGATTTTCTTTCTTTTCTTCCTTTCATTTGTTTTCTTGTTTTTGAGACTAAGTCTCATACAGCACACACTGACCTCAGGGATAGCAAAGGCTGACCTTGGATTTCTGACCCTCCTGCACTTCCTTGTGCTGGGATTACAGTTGGTAACACAAAGCTAGCCTCTAATTGAATTTGGAAGATAGATTGATTGATTGATTAGGGGGCTTACCACCACTGTTTAATCATTAGATGTAAATTGTATTTGCTGCCACCTGGGGGATTCACAGAACCATTGCAGGTAACTTTTTCTTTCTACTCCCTGTCTTTTCCCAAAAGGTCTCACTATGTATTCCTGGCTGGCCTCAAAAATCTCAGATCTCCTTTGTTCTCAGCTCCCTGAGGTCTAGAATATTTTTAACAGTCACACTTTAATTAAATCAGGACAAATTTGAGACAAATGCTGCTAAAATTCCTTCCCCTGGGGAGCTATAAACACTGTGTTCCCCTCTTCTTAAGGTCCCAATGATGAACTAAGAAAGATCCTGCCAATGTTCACATGTGGGAACCAATGAATTTATTAGGCTTACCTATGGAGTGATGGGAGAGGGTTAGGACAGTCACAGAGCAGTCACACTGAAAGGGCAGCCCCCAGCAGGGATGGTAATTTCTAACTAATACAGATAGAACCCTTGTCCCACCTATATCCTCTAATCCCTCCCCCAAGACCTGAGACCACATATAATTTGGCAGAATTGCATTCAACTGTTTTATATGAGTGGTAGAATACTCAGATGAGGGTTCTAAGACCCTTCCCAAATCCTCCTCCCCCAGGGAAGGTAAACCATCAACAGGCCCAGTTCTGATTATCTTTTACAAGCAGGCCCAGCAAAAGTCCTGATGTTCTGTACTACATCATCCAAGGCTATCCTGGAACTCTCTCTGTAGACCTTGAGGTTGGTCTCAAACTCAGTGATCCACTGGCCTCTGCTTCCTGAGTGTTGGAATTAAAGATATGTACCATTACTCTCAGGCCCTGATTTTCATTTTTTAATGATTTTATGTTTTTATTTGTGTGCATTGGTGTTTGTCTGCATGTATGTGTGTGACGGTGTCAGATCTCCTGGGACTGGAGAGATAATTAGGAGCTGCCATGTGGGTGTTGAGAATTGAACCCTGGTCCTCTGGAAAAGCAACCAGTGTTCTTATCCACTGAGCCATCTCTCCAGCTCCACCCCTGCTTTTCTTATATAAATTCATTAAGGGAAATTTTTTTAAAAGAATTTTAATGGATAAATAAAATATTTTCTATTATTTTTCTTTATGTATAAGTGAATTTATATGGAATGTTCAGAATAGGCAGATTGATGTTTTAAATTATTCCTTTTATTTTTTGAGATTATTATAATAACATCATTTCCCTCCTCCCATTCTCCTATCCAAACCATCACAAATACTCCTCCATGTTCTCTTTCAATTTCATAGCATCAGCCAGGCATACTGATGTCGAATGTGTTTGCTCCCAGCACTCTTTGTTTCCAGCTCTCTAGAGGCAGGTGGATCTCTGTGAGTTTGAGGGCAGTCTGGTCTACAGAGTGAGTGACAGGACAGCCAGAGCTACATAGTGAGATCCTGTCTCAATACATTTCTTTTCATACCATCTTTTCTCAGTAAGTGTTGTTATAACTGTATGTATGTATAAACATATATATTCCTAAATACATAAATACAATCTGCCCACCCTGTATGCTTTGTATGTATATTTTCAGGGCTGACCATCTGGTATTGGATAATCAGTAGGTATTCTCAGCATTTCTTGGTTGCTTATAGCAGTTCTTTGTGTAGGGCTGAGGCCTTTGAGTTTTCCCCTATCCCCTTTGTTTTCTCTATTGTTGTTATACTTGCTCAGCTCATGTGTAGGCAGTCATGCTGGTGAGGTTTATGGATGTAGCTTTTGACAGTCTTAGGAGATGCAAACTCACAGCAAATTCTGTGTTCCTCTGACATTTAAAATTTTCTACCTTTCTCTTGCACAATGACTCCTTATCTTAGGTTCGAGGGTTATATTGTAGATATATCTGTTGGGATTGTACCCCACAACTGAATTTTGATTGTTTGTGGTTTTCGGTAATTGTCTGTTGCAAAGAGAAATTTCTTTTTCATTTCTTTTCTTTCTTTTTTCAATTTTATTTATTTAAATAAAATTTTGTTTCTTAAATTTTATTTATTTAAATAAATTTTATTTTTAATTTTATTTATTTGTTTTTCGAGACAGGATTTCTTTGTGTAACCCTGGCTGTCTTGGAATTAGCTCTGTAGATGAGGCTGGCCTCCAACTCAAAAGAGATCCGCTTGCCTCAACTTCCCACCCTGAGTGCTGGGATTAAGGGCGTGAGCCAACACCTGTGGGTATAAGGACAAACCATTAGAATGTAGTCAGCTGCTGTTGTTATTCCTATCTATAGACAAGGAAACTGTGACACAGAGAACGCAAATTGCCTACCTCTAGAGAGGTGAGCAGTCTGGATTCAAAGCAACATCCGTTGTGCGCTCTTACCGGTTTTGCAGACAACAAACCATGGTGACATGCTTAAGCTAAAATCCCAGTCTAATAAGGAATGGTGACAGCAAAAGTTAATACGGACTTGATATGTTCCTCTCATCCCCAAGAAAAGAAAGAGCATTAGCCAAGACCACAGAATGCTTATTCCCTAAACATGAGAGGCGTTTCACTGACCCCCAACGCTGCTTCCTAAAATGGTCAGTTTGCCTGACCTGAACTGATTGGCAGACAGGTTTCAACAGGGAGGGGCCCGGCTCTGCAACTCAGTAATTAAATTCCAAGAAGCGCGGGAGATGCCAGACCAATAGACGGGATCTTTCGGGTCGCCCTCGGAAATCTGGGCCGCGGCGTCATCAGTTCCGGGACGTGACGATAGCTCCTGCCTTGAGCCCGCCCCTGGTGATGACTCTGCGCTTGTGCACGCCTAAGAATCCGGGAGTTGAGTCCTAGCCCCGCCCATTGTCCCGGAAGTGAATACGGAAGCGCCTCACACCCCTCAGCCGGCTGGGGCGCAGCCATTTTAATTCATATCTGAGTGGGCGGTGGCGAATCGTGTGGCGGCTCTGGCTGTGCTGGGCAGGGGGTAGTGTTACTGGTTTTAGGGGGTTGTTTTTAGCTTAATTTTTCCTTTCTAGCTTCCCATTGCCGGCCAGTGAGTACGCTGTAACCCCCTGAGGCCATGTCAGGAGACGCAGCCGCGGAGCAGGTGAGGAGCGAGAGCGGTGGGGCCTCGTGGCGACCTCTTTCTCTCTCCGGCCCTGTGGGTGCGAACACTCCAGCCGTGCTGGCGTGAGGAGGGGCTCTGGAGGTCTGGTGAGCCCGGGGGGCCGGGGACGCCAGAGCACCCCCTGAGGGCTCCTAGCATTTTGGCTTTCTCCGTGGCGTTCATAAGGACCAGCATTTGACTCATACAATAGCTGGGAGGTTGCTTCGCCCCGTTTTCGCAATTCTTCGGTCCGGACGGTTTATTTGATACCATTTTGGTGTTCCGGTAGTTCGGATTTTTTTTTTTTTAACGTGTACCTGTCTTGGCAATATTTCCCTCTTCTGCTCCCTAGTTCCACCCCCCCCACCCCCAAGAAATAGAAACGAAACCAATCTAGAAGGTAAAAAGCAGCATTCCAGAAGCAGAGAACGGCTATGCCGAGCTTTGGGGAGAATTTTGTGGATTTTTCTCCCGCTTTTTTTTTTTTTCTTTCTCTCTGGTCTAGGAACACTTTGTTTTTACTTTTGCGGCTACGCAGACTTTGCAGGGTTTGATACATTGGAAACAGGAAATGTGCTTTAGTCACTGTAGGCGCCAGCTGTTTGAATGGTAGCTATGAGTGATATTTAAGTATTTTAAAAGTCAGAGTTTTAGAAATGAGATCTTCCCTCTTCCTTTTGGCTTTTTTTTTTTTTTTTTTTTTTTTTTTTTTTTTTTTTTTTTTTTAAGGTAGGGTTTTACTGTATTGCCCTGACAAGGCGCGACCTAGTGACGTCTGCTTCCTTGGCTTCGTGCTAGGATTAGCTGGGAATACTGACGAGCATCTCCACGCTGGGTTCTTTACTCTTTTTATAGCCTGAATTTTGTAGGATAACATTTGCCTTTTATTGTAAAAAACAAAAGAAACTGGTTTTATGAAAGATTTTTTTCGATCTTGATCCTAGTATTTTTTGGGGGGAGGGGTTTGAGGCAGGGTCTCTCTGTGAAACAGTCCTGGCAACTCATTCTGTTAGACCAAGTTGGCCTGGAACTCAGAGATCCGCCTGCCTCTGCCTCCCTAGTGCTGGAATTAAAGGCGTGCGCCGCCGCCACCACCACCTGGCCCCTAGTATTTTTCTTTTTTTTTTTTAAAAGAAAGGTAGTCCAGCGAAGTCCTAAATTTTCTGTTGGTGTAGCAACGAAATACGCTTGTATTTTCTTTTTTTCAAGTTCCCAGCTTATAACTGGAAACTACTGGAGGTTAATGGGTGACATAAATTTGTTAATGAAGTGTGGGTAGTCTATAAATTTAATTACTTTGGGAAAGAGCAAAATTCATGTTTTCTTGAGGACCGATTTCATCCTTGAAATATTGGCAATGCTTTTGCCCTTTATCTAACGTTGGGATGCTCACGAATTCAATGTCTTTGAATTATTTTATCAAAATTGTTTCTTTTACTCCATTCTTTTTCTGGGCTATTTTTGTTTTCTGAAAGTGAAGCAAATATTGGATGTGTCTGAAATTTATTGCTTTATATGAGATTGTAAAGACAAAACTATTGCCACAATTTTGTTTACAAAACTGTTTTTTGTTTTGTGTCATCCTGTTCCGCCCCAGTTGGAGATTGAACCCAGGGCCTTGTGCTTTCAGGGAAGCGTTCCACTGCTGAGTTATAGTCTCAACAAGAAATGTGATGTCTTAATAAAAATTTAAAAATCTTTATCTTCTGACCCCCCTTTTATTTTGACAATGTCGCTGTGTGGTCCTGACTGGCATGGAACTTACTGTGTAAATCAGGCTGGCTTTGAATTAATGGAGATAGCCTGCCTCTGCCTTGTTGAATACTAGGAATAAAGACAGTGCACACCACCACAGCTAGCTTTTTTTTTTTTTTTTTTTAATTCAGGAAAATACTCTTACTCAGGCTTGCCTCCTTTGAATTTTATTGTACAGTTTACAACAAAAAAAGTTGAAGAAGAAGTTCGTAAACACATATTATAATTCTCATTGAACCCAACAATGGTTACAGGTTTTGTCATATATGTGTATGTGGTGATATATTTTATATATTGTTTTACACATGTGTGTTTACACATGTATTTTTTGTGTATGGTGGTTCTGTGGCTCAAATCAAGGGTGTTGCTCATGTTTGGCAAGCCCTCTGCTACATGTTTTCTTTTTCCATACACATTTCCCTGAAAGCTAACATATCACACTTCAGTCCAAACTATTTCAACATTCTCTTATATAATGACATTTGTGCTGTTATATAACTACCATACCATTATCCCACTCAAAATCTAGTTATACCATATTTCTGTTTTATTTTTTCTAGATAGGGCCTTATACAAGTTTGAGGACAGGCTAGCTTCAAATTCAGTTTGTAGCTGATGATGACCCTAAACTTCCACCTCTAGGTGGTACTAGGATCCTAAGTTCTCTCCAGTGCTCCTGGCTCCATAATGATGTACTTTTTGTTTTGTCTTGTTTTTCGAGACAGGGTTTCTCTGTAGCTTTGGAGCCTGTCCTGGAACTTGCTCTGTAGACCAGGCTGGCCTTAAACTCAGAGATTACCTGCCTCTGCCTCTCCAATGCTGGCATTAAAGGTGTGTGCCACAACTGACTGGCCGATAAAGATGTATTTTTGACATAATCCATATTCAGGTTTGTCATTGCCCCAAGAACATGATTTATAGGACTAGGAATGTTGCTCAGTTGGTAAGAAAAAGAGTGCTTGTGTAGCATGAACAAGACTCGAATCCAACCTGGGGGTAGATCCTGAGCACTGCCTAAGCCAGGCTTTTTGGCAAAGACCTGTAATACCAGCACTCAGGAGTTGGAGGCCAGAGGATCAGAAGTTCAGAATCATTGTTGGTGACAGTGAGTTTAGAGGCAGTCTTGGCTATAAGAGACCTTGTCTCAAAACAACAATAACAAATCCCCCCAAAACATAACAAAAAACCACGAAACAAACAAATCAGAATTTAATCTAAGCAAAACACTGAATCCTGAATGTGTATTTGCTTATCTCATAAACATTCTTCTTTGACTGCCCCTTTCTCCTCACCTATGTTATCTGTTTGAAAAGAGGTATTTTATCATCTTCTGAGATTCTGTTTAGGGAGTTTTGTTTTGTTTTTCGAGGCAGAGTTTCACGTATTGCTTTGGAAGTTGTCCTGGAACTCGCTCTGTAGACCAGGCTGGCTTCCGGTCATTTAATAGATTTTTTACTCTTGGAGTATTTCTTGGAGAATTTATAGTTAGGTCTATTCTCAGTCTTGAAGTTAAAAAATCTTGGATAGAAAATAATACATTATCTGGGATAGTGATGGTGCGTGCCTTTAATTAATCCCAGCACTCAGAAAGTAGAGGCAGGCAGATTTCTTGTGAATTCAAGGCCAGCCTAGTGTGATTCTAGGACAGGCAGGCCATTACTGTTATGCAGAGAAACCTAACCATGTCTTGAAAAAATACCCTCCCCCATATATATAATTCATTATCTTTTTTTTTTCCCCTTTTCACTGTATTTATTAGTTCTAGTTAGGGAACAAGCTTGTTTTATTCCTGTGCTGGTCCTGGGCCCTTCCCCATGTGTCCAGGGCCAGAGTGTAACCCTTCACATGGGATGGGCTCTCAAAGTCCCTTCTTGCACCAGGGAAAAATACTAATCCACCACCAGAGGTTCCCTGGAGTGCAGATGCCTCCTTATTGACATCCATGTTCAGGGGTCTGGATCAGTCTTGCACTGGCTTCCCCGACAGTATCTGGGGGTCGATGTGCTCTCCCTTGTTCAGGCCAACTGTTCCTGTGGGTTTCTCCAACCTGGTAGACCCCTTCGCTCTTCATTCCTCTCTTCAACTAAATTCCCGATTTCAGCATAATGCATTATCTTATAGGTAAGAGGGTGCGTGTGTTCATGCGCCACAGTGGACTTGGTGGAGGTCAGAGTACAACCTTTCAAAGTCAGTTCTCTCCTGTAGGTACTGGAGAAGGCTTGGTGGCAAGCACTTTTATTTTGCTAGCCCAAAGGCAAGTTTTTTTTTTCCTTGTGTGAGACAGTTAACTGCTCTGGCTGTCTTGGAACTCAGTCTGTAGACCATGTGAGATTTCATATGTTTCTGCCTTCTGAGTGTTGGGACTAAAGGCATGCAATACCGGGACTCTGGATTTTAACTTTTTAAGTATATGAGTGTTTTGCTTGCATGCTTGTATAATGTGCCATGTGAGTGCCTGGCAGCTAAGGCAGTCAAAAGGGGGACTTTTGATCCCCTGGTAAAGTAGTTATGAGCTGCCATTTGTGTGCTGAGAACTGAACCTGGGTCCTTTGCAAGAGCAGTTAGTGCTCGTAACCACTGAGTCATACCTCACTCCCATCCCCAATGACTTTTACATATTTAGAGGTATATTTCAAGCAAGCAGAAAAGAAATGTGTAGTGTATTTATCACAGAGCTGCTCTTTTCCATTCCTTCTTCTGCCCTCATTGCATTGAAGTAAATCTCAGTTGCTTTAGCTAAAGTAATATGATAGGTTTTAAAATGTGAATTGGCTGTACAATTCTTGTGTTTCAGACAATGGCCAAGAATGCTTGCTGCTATTGTAAGAGGACTGGAGTTCAGGTTTTAGTGCCCATATTGGGACACTCACAAGCACCTGTAACTCCAGCTCTAG